CTCAAGCACCATGAAATGGCTCCACTTGCAGTTTTCACTACATCACTACAGGTCCAGAGCTGGCTCTGATTTAAAAAAAAAAAAAAAAAAAAGCTGCATCCTGACAGAAAGCCTTAGTGTCCGGTTTCCCTCCCCTAGAAAAACAATGTGACAAGAAGGAAAGTGAACTTGGTGGCATGAACTTCCTCAGGTTGAAGTACTGGCACAAGTGAAGGGCCTGTGAATTTCCTCTGATTTCCTAAAATAACAGTTGCCACCATCATGACCCTGTGTCAGGTGATGTCCAGAGCACAGCTAATGGAAATGTACAACCTCTAAAATTGAGATAATGACAAATAACTCAAAACAAGTATGACTAGAGGATTTATTCTGTAGTAATTGTCTTATGGTATTTTGAAATCTGTGACAAACCTTGTGAGGGCTACAGAGACCTTGACAGGCAAAGCAGGAATAATTTCGTGCTTCAATCATTGTAGTTGTTATTCTCAGTAAAACAAAGACACTGGGTTGTTCTTTTTTACTTTCTTTTATTTTTTTGTTTTTCTTCATGATTTTTTTGTCACCCAAAATGGTTTTAGCATTTGTTTTACATTTTTTACTTTTCATTTTTAGAGACAGGTTTGGTGACAGAATGTAGTCAAAGTTGGCCTTGAACTGATCGTCTTTTGTCAACCCCTCAAGCACTGAGAGGACAGATGTGTTCTACCACAGCCCTAAACTGTCCTGATGTCGTCCTGAGAAGCTGAGAAGTCTTGCTGAAGTTAATCCTGAAAGTGATTGTAGTTTTATTTCCTGTCAAAGGAAAGATCTAAAACTTACATCTTTATACAAGATAGATACATAAACATGTACTTTATACAAGATAAGTACATAAATATGGCATATACATGACATGGAAAAGGTGAGGTCATCTTTTTCCTGGCTTGATTGTCTCCATCTTCTCAGCCCTCCTTTGCTTACATCGACACTGTCCACTCTGCCCCACAGGTCCTCTACCTGTGCTGGAGGATGGGCTGCTCCTGTCACCTTTGCATGAATCTGCACTGATTTCTTTTTAAGCACTGTCTTATACACGAGGCATTACAACAGTTCATATCCAAACAAGCCTATGAGGTAAGTGGTTACCTTGCGCATTGTCCATGCACCATTTAGCAATGTTACTTGGTTTAGCACCATATCCCTTTAAAGAAAAATATGGCTGAAGAATGCTCCAGCCAGTGTGGATGCTCTCCCGAAGAGCCTGATTTTGTCTTTGGATTTTTGCTCTATGAGCTTGAAGCTACTTACTTGTCGTCCAGAGTCTGTATCTTTACCTATAGCTGTTTGCATGATAACTGTTTTGACTCTCTTTCCAAGTTTACATGGGTTCTAGCGTGTTCTACACCCATGAAGACATCTCACCGCCCTTACCACTCTTTAACTAAAATTTAAGGTATAAGCCATAATAATTCTACTTTAGAGTAGACAGCTCACTAAAATTTTGCAAGATTGGGGGATCACTACCACTAGCCACATCCAGGACATTTTTGGCCTCCTGAAACGTAACTTCATAACTGTTAGCAGTCATTCTCTACTTCCTCCCTCCCATCTCCCAGTGATGACTTTATTGGTATGCATATTCTGGGCATTTTAAATCAGTAGAATTATATAACACGTGCCTTTGTCACTGTCCTATTTTACTTTGCATAATGTCTTGAAGGTTCATCCATTTTGTAGTGTGCATCAGAATCTCACCTATAGCTGAGGGTATAGCTCAGCATATGTTTAGCCTGGCTAAGGCCACAGGTTCAATTCCCAGCACTAAACACTCTCACAAAGCAAGACAGAACTAACGAAAAACTTTAATTATGGCTGAGTAAAATCCCATTGTGTGAATCTATCACACATTATTTACTGGGGTAGTTTTTGTCATCATAACAAAATAGCTGGGCCAGTTAACTGATGAAGAAAAAAAGGTTTGTTTCATAGTTTTGCAGATTCTAGTGTATGATTTACTGGCCACACTGCATTGGGCCTGTGGCACATCATCCAGGGAGTTCATGGCAGAGCAACCACTTACCTCATAGGCTTGTTTTGATATGAACTGTAACCCCAAAGGCCCACATGTTAGAGTGGACTCTAACTTGTGGCTAGAAGGTGATAGAACCTTTAGAAGTAAGGCCTAGTATAAAGTGTGTAGATCAACAAAGGCCTGCATTCAGAGGAGACACTGCAAATCTGGTTGTAGTCATATCTCCTGCTCCTCCGCTTTTGTGAGTGTGTGTGTGTGTGTGTGTGTGTGTGTGTGTGTGTGTGGTGTATGTATCTGTCTATCCACCACTCTCTTTCTTCCCAGATGCAGCTTTTTCTGTTTTCTCTCACCATGATCTATTCTCACCACAGCCCCAAAGGCAGAGAACATCTGAGACCATGGGCCTCTTTATCCCAGCAAAGCATCACTGGTTGGCAAAACCTGCATCTCATACAGTTTCACTATCTCCCAGCAGGACCACCCAGGGGACCAAGCCTTTGAAATGGGCCTTAGGGTAACATTCGGCTTGTAAGCTGCAGCATTTATCCATGTTTCTTTTGAACTGATCGCACTATCTAAGAAGACTGTAGCTGTGAACATTATCTTGTCCAAATGCTTATATCATGACAAGAATTTAGTTCTCTTGGCTATATATCTCAGAAGAGAATTGTTGAATCCTGTTCAATTCTGTGTTAACTCTGTTTGGTTCTCAGAGAAAACTGTCCATGGCAGCTGTACTACTTCATGCAGCACCATGTCGGCCTTTTGTATTTTTTCCCAGTTTCCCCCAAATCCTTGCCAAAAAAAATTTCAGTCTTTTTGTTTCTAGCCATTCTAGTGAATGTGACTTCATAATTCATTCATTTATTCAATCTTTATTTTGAGTCAGGCCTCATATAGCCCAAACTGGCCTTGAACTTCTGACCCTGCTGCCTCCACTTTCCCGGTGCTACGAGTACAGGTATGTGCCACCACACCCAGTTTCATGTGGTACTGGGGGATCTAGTTCATTGCCTTGTGTATGGGAGGCTAGCACAGCCTCAACTGAGCTACATTACTATTTAGCCCAGCCTGGCCTGGATCTTCTTGCCTTAGCCTCCCAAATGTTGGTATTATACTCATGTGCCACCATGCCTGATTGTTTTCTCTTGAAAATAATTATTTAAGAGTTTCACATGATTCCCAACTCAAAACTATGAAAGTATGTACAGAGAGGTCTTGCTTTCATTCCTATTCCTTTCATTCTGATATTCCCCTACAGGTATTTTTCATTCATTTGTTATCTAGACTCCATTTCTACTTTGTTAACATACAAAGAAATGCATATATCTTGCTCTCTATTTTTCCATCTTCCTTACAGGACAGCTACCCTCTGCTCTCTTTACCTATCTGTATATCCCAGACTCCCATGGCATCACACAGATTGTTGTCTTTGTTCTCAGTGCAGCTGCACCATTTCATGGATGCAGCTCCATACAGCTGCATTGTGCGCATGGACCATGATCAGTTCAGCCGGTCCTCTGTGTGTGGACACAGGGGTTCAGGATACATTTGTTGCCTGACTAAATTGTGCCAGGCACTAGGAGTAAAGGCACGGCTGGCTCTGGCTTCACGAAACCCAGCAAAAGATCCTACAATAAAGAGCATTCCTTAAGTCCAAAGCACGTTTGGCTCCACTGGACACAAGGGGCACATGTTACAGAGAAGAAACGTCCCACACAGAATGGACACAATAACCTCTTATTGACTGGCCTCAAGCTGCAACTTGGGCCTTTGTATGGGAGGGTTCCCTTGAAAGTGGTTAACAGTGATTGATCAGGAGTGCCACCAATTGGTCAGAGAAGGGAAAGCAAAAAAAAAAAAAAAAAAAAAAAAAAAAGGTCTTAGGATTCTAACGACCACATTTCTTGGGAAGGAAGAAATCTAAGTTAATGCTGGTTCGGTTGCATAATAGGAGCTAACATCTGTGCGAATTTGTGCTGATCTGATCAGATACTGTTCTCAGCCTTTATGTACATTAAACCTAAAAAATCTTCCAACAGTCTTAAAAGATGGGGACTGTTATTATTTACATATCTTTTCCCAATACAGAAACTGAGACAGAAATCTGAGCCACTGCACTTTTGCAAAAGGTTACACAGAAAAAAAGAGGAAAAAAAAAAGTCAGACAGGCATCACAGATAAGGTAGTTGCCAACAGAGTACTAAGAAGAGCATGCCACGAAGCTGAAGGATGGCTCAGCAGCGCAGAGCGTGTCTTGGCTTGTTACTTTCAAAAATTCTGGCCTACAGGGACCAGGCGCTCACCAGATACACAGATACGCGCGTGGACAAAATACTCATTCACATTCACCTCGAGTAATAGCGTATTAAAACAGCCTTTTTTAAGCACCAACTCACCAGTAAAACACAAAAACTACCTCAACTTCTCTGGCCAGAACCAGAGCACCAGAGCATCGCCCAAAAAGGGTTACATGCAAAATTAGACTCTAGGTAAAGCAGAATTGAAATCAATGAAAACGGATCCTTTAGGGTTCACGTCAGACGGGTAATGTGCCCACGTCGTAACAAGGTTTGATGGGTGGCACATGTCACGCAAAAGCGTGAATACCCAATCATCACACTTATGAACCAAAAAAGGATCACGTAGGTGCTTACGTAGGGAAGAGTCAAGTAAGTCCTACTAGACTTACAGAAAGGGTGACTATCATAATGCAGATCGATTTAGTGTTTATACAGAAAATATCTTACGATTTAAAACCGTTGCTGAGATTTTGTAAGCTTCCTCTTGTTTCTGCCCTAGGAAATGAAATGAGAAACAAAATTAGTGAGCGGACGCTTAGTTATGCAAATATATTCTGCACAGCTCCACCTTTCACTCGTTCTCCTTCTGCAGGGCTGTTTGTTGCTTTTCGGCTGTAAGTCGTGAAAAGAAGCGTTGCGGCTCCACCGGCGGAAGTTAGTTAGGCACTTTACGGCAAGGGCCGGAAGTTGCTGCTGAAACGTGGAAAGCCTCAGGTACCGGGAACGTTGTTGATGTCACGGCTCAGTAGTATGTCTTTAAAACTAACTTATTTTGTTTTTGAATCTTCGGAAAGACAAATTTCTCCACATGTTAGGAGTTTGAAGCTCTCGCCATAGCAAGGTCCCTTCTTACACCCATTTAATCGGATCCCACTCGATATTTCTCCGCACAGTTCGCTCTTTTCACCGTGTATGGTTTTAGTTGCGTTCGTTGGGGGACTCCCAGGGCCGGGGCGATCTTCCTTCTGAGACTCCAGACCCCTCTCTGATTGGCACCGTCCCCTGGGGGAGCCCAGCACACCCGGGTGCGATTAGGAATGAAGCTTGACAGCGCTGAAGAGAAGTCGCGGGACGCTCCTTCCCCGCCCGCAGAGGGTTCTCCCCCGACCCTGGAACAAGCCTTCTCCAAGATTCTACACGGTCTCAGCCGCCAAGAGTCAGGACAGAGCAATACAAGAAATGCAATTCTTAAAGACCTCAGTGCTTTAATAGAAGCCGCCGAATGTGACGTATTATTTGAGGGGGGTGGGAGTGGAGAAGCACTCCGGGGGATGCCCGAGATCCTGGGACAGGTGGCGAAAGCCTTGGAGAAGTTCGCAGCCCCACCCAAGGAGAAGGCAGACGGAGGCGATGGGCATTCCGAGGTGCCTGAGAGGGCAAAAGAAGTTGGGTTATTATTTCTTAAGCTGTTGGGGAAGGTTGAAACTGCTAAGAGTTCTCCCGACTGCTCTGCATGGAAGACAGGCCTCCGCCACTTGGCAGGACACATGTATGTTTTTGCCATCACACACAGACGGAAGCAGCCATGGACCAGTCCAGGATCTCAGCGTGTTGCCGGTGAAGTGCTGTCTTTACTGCTTCGAGTTACAGAGTGCAGCTCTGTGGCAGGATTCCTTTGCGGAGAAAATGAAGATGATCGAGGGAGATTTGCTATGGTTTTGGGGCTTCTTAAGCCCCATTTGAATAAGTGAGTACTGCAGTTTTCACTATTATTAAGGGGATAAGGCCATCATCATAATAGATCTCTTAAGGCCCAGATAGGGTGTGGTTTGCTAGAAATGAGGTAACCAGATAGAAGCAAATTCAAGATTAGAACTGAAGTCCTCAAACTCCATTTTCTGCACTGAACGACAGCCTTGGGAAATTGTAAATTCTGTCCAACTTGTGTGGAATCAAGTAGCCTATGCTAATTACCCATTGGTATTAGGAAAGGGTCCAATTTTTCAGCTTGTGTTTAAATACAGGGACTTCTAACTTGTTCATAATTATTAAGTAAGGGTGATTATCCTATAAGGAAGTAATACTTGGTATAGAATAATGAAAATGCTTTGTAATAAGTAGATTGAACTAGATTGCTATCAGCTAAAGCACTTGCTGTGGGTTTGTTTTGATTATTTTCAAAACAGGATTTCTCTGTGTGTAGCCCTGGCTGTCCTGGATATCGGTTTGTAGACAAAGCTAGCCAGGAACTCAAGAGATCTGCCTGCCTCTGCCTCCCAAATGCTGAGATCAAAGTTTTAACTTGCTACTTTCAGTGTTTTGTTTTCAGCCAGGTTTTAATTTTATCTGTTTTTATTTTATTTCTTTATTTTTGAGATATATAATCATATATATATATATATATATATATATATATATATATATACACATATGATATATAATCTTGGCTGGCCTGGAACTACGAGAGGTTTGTCTACCTCTGATCTCTGTGTGTTACCACACCTGTCCCAGACAGTTTTTTAAACGGACTTTATTATTGTTAATTATGTAAAGGTCTGCATAAGGGTGCAGAAGCCTGAAGAGGCTAGAGGCATCTGATCCCTTGGAGCTGGCCTTACATATGATTGTGAGCTACTTGACATGGTTGTTACAATCTCAGTATGGATCCTTTGGAGGAGCACAGGAGTGCTCTTCACCATCCTTCTCTCCAATCCCTTCAGGAAGGTTTTCATGTAGCCAAGGATGATGGCCCTGAATTTCATCCAAGTGCTGAGCTTACACTTGTGCCCCACAGGCATGCCTCACCGTGCCTGGTGTGTTCAGTGCCGTGGCTTGAGCCAGGGTGTTGTGCATGTTAGGCAAGGACCTTTCCAACTGAGCAGTCTTCTGGCATCGGATGATGAGATGAAATAATCCCGGAGTTCAGAGGTATATAGTATATAGTATAAGTTATGTAAATTATTTTAATTTTAATTGTAAAATGTATTTGGAAAAAATCAATAGTCAAATAGGAGATAAACATACATTCATGCATACATATGTATAAAATCTGTTAAAAAAAATCTTGTTAAGCTTGAATGGCTTTCTTTGCTACTACCATGTCATTTTACTTAGTGTGGTTTTCATGTGTTCTTTCCAGGGAATCCTGGAAGAATAATCCTGCTATCAAACATATTTTCTCATGGACTCTCCAACAAGTCACTCAGCCCTGGCTGAACCAACATCTAGAAAAGATACTTCCTCCATCTTTGCTCATCTCAGATGACTATCAAACTGAGAATAAAATCCTGGGTGTACAGTGCCTCCATCACATTGTGATTAATGTGGTAAGCAGCCTTAGCTCTAGCCTGTACTGACAGGGTAGACTTAAGTCACTCATGGCTGATCTTCATTTCTGATCTATTTCTGCTTTATGCTTATGTCTTTATAAGTAGACTTTATTTTCATTTAATTCACTTATTTATATATTTTTCTCCACATACATATTTTTCTGTCCCAACATGGTAGAAATAGTATCCTATTGGTAATATAATAAATAAAAGGGAAATTTTAGAAGAAACAAGATCATGCTTTATTACAAAAAAATCTGAAAAAAGTAAAAACAAAACTATATAATTATCCACACATATACATATATCTGTAACATATATATATCACATATATGTGTGTGTGTGTGTATGTATGTATGTATGTATGTATGTATGCATGCATAGTGGCAGGTAACTTTCAAGTTAAAAAAAAAAAAAGCAGAACTCAGAAGAGGTATTACCAAAATGTACAAAGTGTTAACTTTTGTATTATGGACATTTTTAAATGCTTGCAGAAGTAGAGTGGTTTACTGAATATTTGTGTGCTCATATCTAATTAAAAATTGTTGACATTTTGAGAAACTTCTAATGGGCTAATCTGTGTTTGTAGCCAGCTGCTGATTTGGTGCAGTACAACAGAGCCCAGGTCTTATACCACGCCCTTTTCAATCACCTGTACATGCCAGAGCACCACCTCATTCAGGTATGGTAAGATTTACTCCCAAGTGCCTGGGCTCTGGTGTGAGGAGTAGGAGGTGGTATTGTGTCAGTAGGAGCAGTTTAGAGCAGTTTTCCCCTTGGAAAATGAGTACCTGAAAGCTGCTGCCCAGCTAAAAGTGTCATGTGTGAAGCAGGTATCCACTCTTGAGCATCCACAGAGTAGCCCAGGTTTTATCTGCATGTGTGTCAATTTCATACCACTTGGGGGTTGGTCTGTTTTTATTAAATTAAATGTTCTTCCTCTGTGAGCTCCACATCAATACATGTATTTAAAATCCTTAGTATGTAGATACTTATTGTCATTCCCCCAGCCAACAGGCAGTAACTGATCATATGTGTCTGTGAAGCTCCTTGGAAGATGTTAATGTAAATATGACTGGACATATATATCTCTGTATACAACACACCAATAGCTGTATCACACAAGGTGTAGTGCATGACCAGCAGCAATAGGAAACTAGTGTGGTGGAGGGTGGCTTTAGGAAGCTGTGGGAATGATAGGATGAATGCTATGGGGGGTAAAAGCAGTTATTAGGAGAGGAACATGGTCAAGACAAAAGAAACAAGCTATAGAAAGCTCTAAGTAGACACATCTTGCTTTTCTTTGTGCTGTACTGAATACCATCCCTCATACATGCAAGGCAAGTACATACAGTGGTTTTGTTTTTTGTGACAGGGTCTAATTCTAGCCTGGTCTGACCTGGAACTTGCAGTGATCCTAGCTACCAAGTGCTGGGATGGAGGATGCATGGCACTATGTCCAGCAGCTCCTCCTTCTCTTTTGTGCTTTCAGTACCTGTAATATTTTGGGTACCGAGAATCAGTTATTATGAGATGGAAAATAGATTAACTTGGTAGAGAAAGGATTTTAAAAATCAAACATCTGGAAAAGCCTGAGATACCCAGAGTTCTAAATGGGAATGCTTAGACACTATAACTTCAGGTAAAGAAGTTTGGACCGTGCCAGGCACAGTTTGTGCACGCCTGTAATCCCAACACTCAGCGAGGCAGAGACAGGTGTATTGCTGTGAGTTTGAGGCGAGCCTGGTCTACAAAGAGATTCTAGGACAGCCAAGGCTACAGAGAACAATCCTGTCTTGAAAAACCAAAATTAAAAAAAAAAAAAAAAAAGGTTTGGACCATCTTAGATTCTGTGGAGCAGTTAGTTTCATGTAAAGTGCCCATAACTGTCATGTGTCTAATGTGTCTAAGGGATAGACCTAGATTCCTAAACCTTGGTTTATATCTGAGCTTGGCCATTCTCTCCATTTCACAAGTTAGTATAACAGTTCAAGAGAGGAAGTTTCAAAATTTGCAACAATATATACTTTGTAATTACTTACAGATATCTTGTTAGATTTCTGTGATGTGCCCTGGGGACAGTGGATTAATGAAGATCTTAGAGAAGTCAGGAATTTTGTGACTGCAAATGAATGAACTATGGTTTCTTTTCATTTATTTTTTCCCTAGGCTGTGCTCCTATGCCTCCTAGATTTATTCCCTGTCCTAGAGAAAGCCCTGCACTGGAAGGGAGATGCTGCTCGAGCCACTACACACTGTCACGAGGTACTCCAACTGATCCTCACTCACATGGAGCCAGAGCACCGGATTCTCTTGCGTAGGACTTATGCCAGCAACCTGCCAGCTTTTGTGAAGAAGTAAGTGGCTGGGCTCCTGCACTGATCATATGCCTATGGTCAACTTCTTAGCATCACATTTTCTCCTATTTTTAGGTTGGGGATCCTTACTGTCCGGCACTTGAAGAAGCTGGAACAAGTTATCCTAGGTTATCTGGAGGTTTATGATGGACCAGAAGAGGAAACTAGGTTGAAGATACTGGAAACCCTGAAACTTGTCATGCAGTATACTTGGCCCAGGTATAGCATCCAAGCAGACAGATGTGCTAAGAAAACAAAAACAAAACAAAAAAGGGTAACTTTCTCTTTAGAACTTGCCCAGATAAAAATATTCAGGACATGTAATCCTTTTCACTTTCTTCATTTCTAGGATATACAGCTACCTCAGATGTTCATATTTGAACCCTTTTCATCAGCCAGTAGTTTTAGGTTCTGTCACAATTAAATCACTTTCTTTCTTAAAAGTTTTAAGGCTGGGCATTGTGGTACAACCCTTTAATTCCAGCACTCAGGAGACAGGCCGATCTTTGTAGGTTTGAGGCCATTCTGTGCCAGTCATGGCTACCTGGACCTTTCTCAGAAAGAGAAACAGAGACAGGAGGGGCGGGAGGGAGAGGTGGGAAGGTGAAGTTAGGCAAGCAAAAACCTACACAAAACAACAGATTGCATGTAAGTTGGGAAACCTTGCAGATTGTCTTGCTTTTCTATTGTTGTGATAAGATACCTTGACAGGGTATATGGTTGAGCCTTATCACTGCTCCTCCCCAGAAAGGCTACCTAGAAGTGTTTCAATAGGCATGTTTGCCTGTGTTCATCCTAGGTCCTAAGTCTAGTTGAGAATGGAGTGCTTCAAGCCACATCATTCAACATTCGCAGAAGATGATGAGATATGCTTATTTAGAAGATACTCCATATATGACGTGAAGGTGTCAGGAGTAAACTAGAACCTGAAATGCCTAGTCATCTAACAGCTTTCTTACATGAATGGAAGGGTTAATTTAGCCAGAAAATCCAGAGTCCCAACAGTCTATTTTGGAATGTATTCTTATAAATATACCAGGAAGCAAGAAACTCTCCAATGACAATCATACTCACATTTGTAACTAAATTGCATTTCTATAGTCTTTGTCCCCAGTAAACTACAGAAGACCACATCTATTATATACTCCTGAATCACTGAGTACCTGCATAGGTATTTAGAGAATGAAATTAGGTCAAACTAATTCTATATTGGGCCTTTACAGGGTAAAGATTCCAAGAAGAGAATGTAGGGAGGTTAGGGTGGAAGCTTGTATGTAATTTCTCTGTAGAAGCAGAGCATGGGGAGTGGTGAACACAGCAGACTGTAGTGAATGGTTAGAGAAATACAAGCCACAGGGAAAAACACTCGACACTTTTGCAGTGGTGGGATGGAAATGAAGCAGAGCCTGTGACTGGGTTCTTACTGACTCTTAAGCACTACCACTCAACCTTATTTTTCGTCTTGCTGTATAGTAAGCTCAAGTTGTAGATCCTCCTGCTGCCATGTCCTAACTGAGGGGATTATAAGCACTACCCATCACCTGCAACCTCACTTTATTCTTACTGTCCAGGCATACATTTACGTGAGTGTAGGCCAGCTACAAATTTCTGCTCAGAACAGATTTCTGCCTTGAACAAGAAAGATCTTGGCTCCCCTCATTCTCAGCCCATGCTGAGGAAGTTTATTTGAACAGGATTAAGCTTTGGCAGGAAACCAAGGTGGGTTTTCTGGGCTTTTGTTGTTTTTGAGACAGGATCTTGCTGCTCACAGATATGCACCTGTTTCTGCTTCCTGACTTGCAAAGTGTTCTTGAACAACCCAGTGTGTATGCAGAGTGCTATAGAAATAACAGAAACTTTGAGGCTATAATCTAGTTTATCTTTGGTCCCGTTTTCAGCTCTGCCATAGCAAACGACTTCAGTTTTCCCATGTCTGGACCAAGTTTAATAGTACAGTTTGGGACATGAAGTTTTTCTTTCCAATTCCAGAATTTCCTGCAGAGTTGTGGTGTTATTGAAAGCTCTGCTGAAACTGATATGTGATGTTGCACGGGACACAAGCCTTACAACTGAGGCCACTAAGAGTGCCTTGCTCCAGGAAGCCACAGACTGTCTGATTCTCCTGGACCACTGTTCTCAGGGGCGAGTTAAGGTAAGGCAAGAATCTGCAAGTTGGTTTCAGGTGGCCTTATTCCTAGGGAACACCAGTGAGTTGACTGTAATTTACTACATGTATGCCCAGCCAAGTTTGGACATGAACGTGGAGGTTGTTAGGTCCCTACCTTGGTTCTCTTTAGTCTTGGATTGTTTGTTCAGTGCCTTATCCTACCCATTTTTGGTGCTCAGGCTGAACTCTTTTAATGCTATTCAAAACCGTGTAGAACAAAGAGGATCAGATGTTACTGGCTTTCAGAAAATGCCACCAATATAAAATTAACTTCTGTTGAGATTGACATGACACCTTCTGTCAGTGAGGCACCTCAAAGTTCTACACTTTAAATTAAACCAGTACCAGCAAAGCCCAAAGAAATAATGAGGCTGAACACTAACTACCATGGAGTAATATGGTAACTGAGATACCTGAGTTTGCCTATGGTACAAGGGGCACCGCTTAGAAGTTTGTCTATATTCTTGTGTGTGCTTGTACAAGTAAGGGCAATGGAGGGTGTCATTCCTAACCATGGTCCCCACTTTTTCTTTTAGATACATAGATCTGTCACTGGCAAGGAACTCTTCAAGCAGGCTTGGCTTGCTGGCTAGTAGCAGGCCAAAAAAACCCTGAGGATCTCCTTCTCCCCTGTACTGACATTACTGGCATAGGTTCTCACTGATGACATGAGTTTTTAAAACATGGGATTGAACTCAGATCCTCATGCTCATCCCACTGAGCTATCCCCCCAGTTTCCATTTACCAACAGTGAAGTTTTTCTTTAGTTTCATTTTCCACAAAATTTTCAAGACCATAGCTTATGGTATATTTACATGTAATTAAACGGCTATCTCATTTTTACAATAAGAAATAATCAATGTAAAGTGTAAAGGAACAGTATAAGAAATTTATGCCCCAAAACATGTAGAACTAAAGTATTATTTGCTCTTTTTCAGTTTATTCAAACACTGTGGCTCCTTTTGCTTGGGCAGTTTTCCAGCTGGGCAGGTTCTTCAGAGCCAGGGGACTTGTGGGCATGACTTATAGGGGTTTTAAAGTAACACCTTTTCTGATGCGGCACTCTCTCCTAGTGCCATGCAGTCTCTCATTTTTTGAGTATACGAAAAAAAGAGTAAGGCAGTAGGTTTTACAAAAATCAATGCCTGTTTGGTTTTGTGTTTCAGGTTCTTCTGGCTAAGATTGTCCTGTCCTGTGAAGATAGCACAGTGGTGAGCTGCATTAGGAAAGTGCAGCAGGGCTCTGCAGATGCTCCCTGCCATGTCACTTAAGATGACTGGCCAGCAGGAAAGGCTGCTCTTCCTATCCCAGATCATGATGGAGATATATACATAAAAATCTATTTTTGTACTAAACATTTTAAGTTGGAACTTTGGTCTCCTCCAGTTTATCCTCATAAGAGAAACTGAACAAGAAAAAAAAATTGAAATGCTGACCTTTCTAAGTAGAAATTGGGAGGGGACAATTTGGTATTTGTAATTTAGAAATATTTAGAGCCACAGTGTCATTCCCAGCTCCAGGAACTCATCTGTTAGGTTCCTTGGGCTCAAGCTGTTCCAGCACATGTTATAAAAATACTCTTTACAATTTCCACTCCAGATTTTTTGCTCCACCGAAGTGACATAAATATTAACAATATAAATACCGTATGAAATCTAACACAGAAGAGCACAGTTGGAAGTGTTGACTGTTTCAGGATAAACATGTGATGGGAACTCATGTTGTTTTGGCTTTGGCCATGGGCTCTGTCTCTTGCTCATACTCTATTTCCACATAGGCCCGTTTTTTCCGCAAAGGTCCTTTCAAGGGTGCTTTGCCTTTGTGTTTGGCCTTAACTTCTTCTTCACTGGAGGATTCAGCATCCTGGTCTTCGTCACTGTCAGCATCCAGTTTATCCATATCCTAATATGTGGAGACAGAAGGTCAGATAGAGAAATTGCAAGGTTTCTCCAAACTCCCTTCACTGCTCAGCCAGTTCAGAACAGACCATAGAGTTTGTGTGCTTGCTGTGTTCATATCTTCCCTGCTCCACTATCACCCTTTGTTGCAGGCCACAAGACATTCTTTATCCCACAGCTCACCTCAAAGTCACTCAGGTCACTCTCCTCTATGTCATCTTCTACAAACTCTCTTTTTCCCACATCCTAAAATAAAACAAAGTTACTGGCTTAGAAAAAAAAGACAATGAAGATCCAGCTTAGACATCTGGTTTTACCTTTTTTCATAAGTGAATCAGTCAATATACACAGCCACCAAAATCTTTTACTCTCAAGTTTAACATTTATAAATCAAAAAGAAAAAATTAGGGATATAAAAGTCAACACAAAGTTTGTTGACGGAGCCCTGCTACACCAAAATCAATCATCACATTATATAAAAGGGGTATGAAATACCATGAGAACGTGTCATCCTGTAGGTTACTGTGTTTCCAAACAGAACAAACCACACTCACCTCTTCATCTTCCTCCTCATCCTCTTCTTCATCTTCAGAGTCACTCTCTGCTTCCTGTTTCTCTAGGGCCTTGTCGAAGGCATGGATGGGGAAGTTGTATATATCGCCATACTGAAGAATAAACATAGACCACCTTTAACTGTACTTGAGATCACACTTTTCAAAGTCCCTCTGCTCTACAAGCACATTATTATTGGGAAACAAATACGAAAACTGAGGAACAGTATTTCCATACAGTTCTCCAGCCTAGGTACAATGTTTTTGACATTTAACAGACAGTAGTTGATTTTTAGTAGGTAGCTTCTACAGAGATAAGTCATTCCAAAATTACTAGTTTATGAAACCACATGAATTGGGGCGAATCTAATTTTGCTTAGAAGGGGAAAGAACACATTTTAATCACCTTTTTATCTTTCTAAATGACAAAAAGCTGAGAAGCAATAGTGACATTTTTAAAAAATAGACTAAAAAAACCCGCTCATTTTAAAGAAGGCTTAAAAAATTAGAGAAATACAAAGAAGCCTGCCATGGTGACAAAAACCTATAAACTAGTACATGGAAAGTTGGAGACAGGAGGATCAAGAATTCAGACTCATATTTTGCTACACAGTGAATGAGGCCACTCTGGGGTATCATGACATGTGGTCTCAAAACTAGAGGGAGAGGAGAAAGTAAAGTGCTAAGTGAATGTTTACTGTTGACGTGGGCATGGCCATGCCAAGGACCCCAGAGCCTTAAATCCACGGAGAAATGGCAAGGCCCTCTTCCCAGGGTGTGGCTCAGAGAGGTATGGCAAAGCCACCCTCAGATCTGAGTGCCAGTGTTGACTGTGTGCAGAAAAAGTCTAGCATACCTCTGCCTCCCCCAGTATTTATGGGGAGGCTATAATATTTATAGCTACTGAGATTAGCTAGCTATCTCCTTGATACAGCTGTATACCATAAATCCTGCCTTCCATGTACCTATAACCCTACTCCCTTGTTCAGCTGTATGCAATAACCTGCCTCCCATTGAACTCTATATAATAAACATGCTGAACTTCTAAGGTACTCAGGTTTCTCATCCAATAGCCTACTCCATCTAATCCCAGGTTTCTGTCTTTTTAGTCCCTTGCAGCCCTGAGTCAGGTCTGTCCCTGGAGGCTGTGCACGGACAGGAGAAAAACAAAAACAAAAAACTTCTATGACTTTGATGATGTTTTTATACAGAACTGTTGAACTTGGAAACATCAAATAGAAATAATAGTAAATGGGGAAAGTCTCATCAGGAAGATAGCCCTACATGAATTTGTTTTAGACCATAGACAAATTGGGGTGGAACGGCTATTAGTGACATGTTTAAAAATAAATGCATTTTCCATATTTCTTAGCTGTTCTACTACTTAAGAAAACACGTCCCAAAACTACTAGCTTTCTTACCGTATCTTGTTTGAGTCTTTCCAGTAATTCCTTCTCAATAGCATTGTCCAGCTGGGCAGCTATTAATGCTTTTTCCTACAAGAAAAAGAGCAAATCCATTACTCCATTAGGACTCATTTCTAGCCTGTACTAATGTAATTACCAATTTTTAATAACAATATGATATGGTTATTTCCTGCTTGCTTCCACTGAGGCTTTTTACCTTTCTAGCCAGATATATTTCTTCTTTCTCTTGCAAAACCTCTTGGGAACCTTTTCTTAATGGCTTTAGCAACAACAGCATTCTGAATTTCAAACAAGCCCTTGATATACTATACATACCTGCCTACATTTAAGAATAACAGATGGGCTGAGGGAGATGGCTCAGTTGGTGAAATGCTTGACTTGCAAATATAAAGACCCGAGTCTGGATTTCCACAACCTATGCAGAACACCAGGCATGGTGGACACACCTGTTACCATTCCAGTAGCAAAAGAGGACGCAGAGATAGGTATTTTCTTGCAAGCTTGTGGGAAAGACTGGCCTACAGAATTCAAGCCCACTAAAAGATCTTCTCTCAAGTAAAAAGGAGGAGGAGCCTGAGGACTGTCATCCAAGGCTGTCCTCTGGCTTCCACATGCACGCTATGCCATTTAGTGTGTGCCATATACATACTAAATAAATAAATGCAAAAGGTGATAAAAAGTTTCAGAAAGTACTTTAGGTGAGAAGAGGAAGCCTCTGAATTCACATGGAAAACTGTTCTTACTCTGAAATGTTTGCAGGAACACCTGTTTAATAGTTAGGGAATACGGAAACTCACTAGCTGGGCTTATTAAACAAAAATGGGTGCGTAATTCAAGTAGAAAAAAAATTTAGTGAATGGGGTCTCTAGTCAAACAGCCTGTGTATGACAAAAGGAGGTAAACGCCATATGGTGAAAGGGAGGGAAAAGCAAATGCCAAGAATGAAAGAAAACTGGAATTTGTCAGGAACAGGTGATTCTCAAGTGTGTGTCTTGAGGACCAGAGAAGCTTGGGTCAACTCTGAAAGTCAACTCTCAGTGAGACAGAAAGACAGACTACCCTCAGGACAGAAGGTGAAAATTCTGGAACAGGTCATTTTTGTCACACACATAACCACCACCATCCTTTACTTTAGTAACAAATTCACCAGTTTCCTTCACGGTGGCTTAGAGATCAAGGTGTGTCAATTTAAAAAAAACAAAAAAAAACCCCAACAATCTCACAATCAAAACCATAAAATTTTCTAAATAGCATAACTAAAATAAGCACAGGCTACTTAAACTGTCTAAACTGTGCTGAAGGTAACGTATGAGACAGGCAATGTCAAAAAATCTGTTATGAGATGTCTGGCCTGAAGAATTTTAGATGCAGAGTTGTCTAAGATACTTTCTTTTTATTATACCCAAACACATTAGAGTATTTTTAGCCTTCAATGAAAATCATAATAATCTGAAGATACAAAAGAGATCACCTATCACTGGACATACCATTAGTGACTCACTGTTACGAATCTCATGCATACAACTCCTTTCTGACATGAAAACACAGAAGCTATGTAAATATTAGATCAGTATGTTACCTCTCTTCGTTTTTCCCGCCGTTCAACCTTCTTACTCAAAGGAACAAGTTTCTTCCTAGCAGAAATCAATTACATTATTAGAAAACTCAACTTCACTTTTCAAGAGATAGGAATGAGAATTGACTGTGTGCAGTTTAGCTCTATAGAGTATATCCATTTCTAGATACTGAGGCTGCTGGTGTAGCTCGGTGACAGAACATTCGCCCGGCATATGCGAGGCTCTAGGTCTGATCAGCAGGTGCACAACGGCTCACACGCCTTACTATACTTTAATGGTATGAAAAGCCAGAAGCCCAGGTAATAGCTCACATCAGTAACTCAGCATTGAGGCTGAGGCAGAAGGATCACTGTAAGCTGGAAGCTACATAGTCAGTTCCAGGCCAGCTCGGACTACACAGTGAGATGCTGTCTTAACCCTGTACCAAAAGTCAGATATTTTGATGTGTATTTTTCTAATTTATTAATTTGTATGTTTTATGTATATGAGTATGAGGGCATCAGATCCCATTACAAATGGTTGTGAGCCACTTTTTGTTTAGGTTCATTACAATAATATTAATGCTTCAATGAACTAAGAAAAAAGGAATTTTCTGGAAAAAAAAAGTTCACATTATCTTTAACATTCCCTGCTCATCTCAATGAAAAAGCCTTTATCCTCACACTCCTTTGGAAGGTATTCTATTAGGCCGGTGGATTTCACATTATTAAGGTAGTTTTCAATTACTCAGAGTGTAGTTCATAATCCTGTTAATCACATTTTCAGATAATTTTGAAATCTTTAATTTCAGCTTTTCTCAGGAACCTACACAGAAAAATTTCCAGGTAGGCAAGGTTATCACATATTCTGCTTTAAAATCCTGCAAAACCACTGGACATGTCTGTAACCCTAAGTTTTTTCTTGGCATGTCACAAAAGATTTGTCCCAGTCGAATTTAATAGAAAATACTGTACCATGGTCTAGGAAAAGAAATAGACTGAAAGTGAGTAAAAGAATGACTCCAGTCCTTACCGTCGCTTCAATGTAAGCTTCCTAACTCGAATCAGGTACTGGGTTATCTTGGTAAATCTCTGCTTACATTTGTGTCGAATGAAGCGGGGCCAGTAAATTAAGTTTTCATCTATTTGTTCCAGTGCTTTCTCATAGTTTTTACTAAGCCGAACCTGTGGAACAGAAAAGAGAAACTTGATGGTGAAGGGTAAATCATGTTAGGTCATCACTGTCAGTACCTATTGTGTCTAATGAAGATGGCTTCCAACTCTAGAGGTGGCCTAAGAAGGGGAAAGCAAATGGCATTTTTTGTTCTTGACCAATGGGCACTGCAGTTTTCTAACTGAGTCTTACCCGTTCCCAGAGGCGCCGAGGGAAAGCTGCTCGCTCTATAACCTTCATGTACAGGTAGCACTGTCCTGAAGAGAAGTCAAACATCTTTATCATTATTTACAGAGACTAGAAACATTCTTTTATCAACCGTTGTGGAGTTTTCGTACCTTTCTCTTCTTTAATGGTAGCATACTGACTATTTGCCAGGGGACAAGATGACCGATTACACAGCCCAGTCAGACTATATTCATTTCTGCAAAAGCCCTGAGTCTTTGTTCTAGGATGCAAGGAAAGAAATGTTTACAACCAATGGGGCAACTAACTAAACACATTTTAGTCTAGGCTGCAATATACTCACCTTATTTTGAAAGAACAAAACTGTCTGTTTCCTAGTGTATTCCAGATAACCTGCAAGACAAAGTGAAAATCCTTTTGCTCTGGTCCCAAAGATGCTGTTTAATAGAAAAAGAGATAATCTCCTGCTGCCAATGGTGCTCCATGGTTGAATTCTTGTCCAGCACCTGCAAAGCCCTCACTTTAGTCTCCAGCGCCACCAAAATACCAACACAAATAATAATGAGTACATCATAGCATAGCAGTGCCTCAAGGAGGAAAGGGCCTTTGGAATCAAAAGAAGTAGCTGTCTTTTAATAGGCCTGGTTTGTTTCCTTTACACAGTAACATATTCTTGTTAAAACAAACAAACATACAAACAAACAAACAAAAAAACCAAAAAAAAAAACCAAAAAAACAAAAACAAAAACAAAAAAAAAAAAAACAAAAGGGCTGGAGAGATGGCTCAAAGGTTAAGAACACTGTTCTTCCAAAGGTCCTCAGTTCAATTCCCAGCAACTACATGGTGGCTCATAACCATCTACAGTGAGATATGGTCCCTCTTCTGGTGTGCATGCAGAACATTGTATAAATAGTAAATAAAAAAATCTTAAAAACAAAACACTAAGTGCACAGGTAATGACCATACCCTATTACTCAGCAATAGAATATAATTAATAGTTGATAAATATTTTCCCAGATTTTTTTTCCAATACACACATATATTCTAACATTTGCAGTATGCCCTTGGGTGTAGTGTTAGCAAGATGGGTCCTATCATATATACCAAGTAACTTTTTCTTTTTCACAGGTGTTCATTATCCACTATCGAAGACTGCACAGTACCAGATACTTAAACATACCACAACTTTATTACATTCTACTCCCTCTCACCAATTAATGTGTTCTTTACACTAAAGCAAAGGCACTAGCATCTCTAAGCCCTGACATCATAAAGACTCAGGTGTTTGTTGGATGAAAGTACAGTCCTTAGAGAACTGTATCTAGTTAGGAGGAAAGTATATAAATGAGGCATCGACAAGTTGTAGTCACTTTAAGAGCTATTTAGGAATATATCAGTACATAAAGTTCTTTAGCTGGACTGACTACCTTGAGCTGAGACACTCTAGAGCAACTGAAGGGAAAAAAATGAAGAAGGATCAAAGACTTAAAACACGTGTTGGGGATTTAATATGGGTATCTGGAGGGGGTGATAGGAGACAATAAGAAATGAAATGGGAAAGTCGGTTATCATTCAGGCTTGTGGCTTTTAAACATTTAGTCAGAGCTCTTTCCTGGTCACCGGATTTGTCCGTGCATCTAGCTGCCCATTTGCCATCTCTATAAAATGATCCCAAATGCAGCCCTCAGCCTCACACCCCTCTAAAAAAGATACAACATTCTCTCCAGTACCCACTAAAAAAGGCAAGAGCCTATCTGACCTTGCCCTGGCAAGCATATCAAATTCATCATCTTTCCTTCCTCCCTCTTGATTCCTATAACAAGTCCCACTGGTGCCCTCTATCCTCCTCCTTTCCCATCTCCAATCTCTGTACCTTTACTATTCCTACCTTCCTTCAGTGGCTGGCTCATTCTTGATTTTTTTTTTTAATCATTATTCAAAAGTCTGCATGGCCTATCTGCAGTGGTTCCTCATCAAATCTTTTTTTCTCCACTACTCCTCTTTTCTTGTACCGTTTACCGTGCAAACGCTTTGTCTGTTTATTCTCTATCCCCAGAGTGCTGATGAGAGCACAAGGTGTTTTGTTTTCGTGTCTTGACTCGTTAACTACCAATTACCACAGTGCCTACACACTGTTGAATTGTTAAGTACTTACAACTCCTGTAAACTGACAAACGATACTTTCGAAATGACGACTCAAGCAGACAGTACAGCAAGGTAAAGAAAAGCGTAACAGAGGAAATGTAGACTGAAAAGTATCGTTCATGGATGAGCCGGATCCTTAAACATGAATTCTAAACTTCACACCTCTCCCGCCTTCCAAGACCCGGGACAATTGCCGTTCAGATGGCAATTGGCACCAGGAACTAAAAAAGCCGATCCGGTGGACTGCGCTGGGGTGTCCTGGCCTCTTAACTGCACTGGGGCGCTGAAATAAACTCCATTGGGAACCCACTTTCGAAATCGGGGTTCTTGGACGTCTGGCAATCCAAGAAAACAGGAAACACACGTGCCAGCTGAGTATGCGGCCCTGATCCTACATGAGCGAAATGCTGCACAAACCCCGGGGACGCCAGAGCAACAAGAGGCAACTCACATCGTCCGACTGCATGGTGACGGCCGGTCAGCACGCCGCGTTGCACACGACCAGGGACGCAGACATGCTCTTTCCGGGGAGCCGCTTCCGGAGAGCCTGGGCAAACCTATCGCGAGAAAGTCTCAATCTCGCGGAGCCCCGTGACGTCTGCTGGCGGACTGAGCTTGCGCGCTTGCCTACTTCCTGGCGTGCTCGCTTCGGCACCCTCCGCCGTAGGAACGCGGCCCGCGGCCCGCGGCCCGCGCGGGTTCTGCTCCGTGAGTCTCTCTTTGGAGCGCTGGCGCTTAGGATCGACAGGCCGTGTTGTCTGCCCATGTGGACTCGCCCCAGACCTCTGAGAAGCGGGGCTCCTTCGTCCTCTCTAATTCAAGACGCGCTCCCGGGGCCCCTTTGTGCAGGCGCGGTGACTTGATCACTTCTGGGCTGTGACCGCCAGCCTGTAAGGCCTGTACGTGTCAGCCTTGTTACTAACCTGCGATAACTTCTAACAGCTGTTTCCATCCTCTCTGAAGTACGCACTGTACTATCGTTGAAACAACAAACAAACTTGTGTACTTGTGACCCTAAAACTGACACATTTTTTTGTCCCTGCCTTGCTTCACCCATAGGAGTGTTGGGGATCAAACTCGGGTTACTAGGATCACACAACCTCACCATCCAGGCCCGAGGGAGGGGGGTGGAAATGCTTTCTAAAAGGAGAAATAATAAAATGAGGTTTGCTTCCCCCGTTATTACTCTTGAAAGCCATTAAGTTCAAGTAATTTTGAAGTTAACTCCCAGGTGCCAAATAACAGTCCCAGGGTCTAGGGATACAACAGTGAAGACGGAAATTTTTCTATGGCCACAAAGGGATTCAGAGAATTATATACTGTATAATGTAATGTTTAAGTACTGATAAGTGTAAAAGCAACAAAACAGCTATGTACCATATACAACTCTCAGCTATTTGGGAGGCTGAGATAGGAGGATTCCTTTTGTCCAGAAGCTTGAGACCAGCTTGAGTAATGCAGGGAGGCTGTATCTCGATGATGATTACAATGATGATACGGCAAAGTAAGTTAGTGGAGACAGATATTTTTTAGAAAGGGAGAACTCCGTAGAAGTGATCATTAAATAGAGAATCACAATGAGGTGATGCAGTAAGTCAGAACAGCACGCGTTCCTTTTAAGGAAGGATAAAGGGCAAATGTATAGTCCCACAGGTAAGGAGACGCTTGGAGTAAAGACAAGCAAGGGAAAAGTGTGGGCTGGAGAATGGAGAGCAAGAGGAAAGATCAATAGGAAATGAAATCAGGCCCAAAGTATATGCAACCTTGCACTGGATCCTCACAGTAAACTTCTGGGGCCTTTTAAAAAATCCTGGTGCCTAGATTGCATATCCCATTAAACAATGATAACATTGCAGCATGGTATTGTTTCACTGCTATCAAAGTAAATGTGTGTAAAGCCAATGAACGAACGATTAGCCTTGTGTGTGTAAGGAACCTTGTGTTGTAGGAATCCCAGTGCCTCACCACTGACCTACACCTGTAGCCCCCGTCTTGATTTATGTCTTTGTTTCTTTCTTTTGAGACAGAGTGTCACTGTAACACAGGCCAGTCTGGCACTCACTGTGTGGCAGCCCAGGCTGGCCTCAAACTTGTGAGCAATCCTTCTGTCTCCCACATTCTCCATTGGGATTACATTTGTGAGCCCCACTACTGAGCTCTGAATAATTTTAAAAGGTGCTACCATGCCTTCAAGGAGAAAGGTATCCTTCTACAAAGCACCTAATTTCGTGTCCAAAGAGGTGAATGAAGTGATACAATTCCCTGACAAGATTATAAGTTTCAGGAAGCAATGTGTTTTGACACCAAGGTACATTAAAAAAAGATGGGGGAGACAAGATAGGACACCGAGGACATTTCCATACACATGAGAAGAGCAGACATATCAGAAGTTGCGTTGCTGGTTAGTGATGATAGGATGTGACTACACTATTAATGGGACAATAGTTCACTTACAAGGCAAAACTCACAGAAAGCTACAGTATTCCTAACTAATGATATGAAAACTGGAGTCAGAAAAACTGAAAACATCAGAGAAAATGATACCTTAGTTACAGAGAAAATGAACTCAAATGAGGGTGGGTTTCCATCAGACATTGTAATAGCCAAAGGGCAGTGGGCATAGTTAATTCACTTAGAAACTTATGCACACCTAAAATGTTCCTTAGGAATGAAGGAGAAATCACATGAAATGTTCTGATAACGAGAAAACAAGACACACTGGCACCAGAAAACCTACAAGAATGGGTTTTAAAAGTTCTCTAAATGAAATGATCGAAGAAATTTTGGAATGCCTGGAAGAAAGCAAGACCATGGTCAGAAAGCTGTGGTGGGAGGATTGCTTCTGTCCAGGAGCTTGACACCAGCCTCAGTAATACAGAGCGGCCACATCTCACTGGATGATGATGACAATGGGTAGCACTTGGGAATTTCTTCACCTCTGAAGCTTTAGTTTATGTTTGGTGTATAAACTGAGGGCATGACTGCTGTGAGGTATGTTGAGGAAAAGGTTATTGTGTACATATGAGGGAGAGTATAGCAAGAGACATCTGGAAGAGTCCAGAACAAAGAGAGAAAGAAGTAGATTGAACATGACCAGGAGACTGGACTAAGCTATGAGAGGAGAGGGAAAATGAAAAAGGAACAGAGAGACAAAGAAATAAGGGGGCAAGACAGGAAGACAAAAAGAGATAACACAGCCAAAATACCAGGGTTATATGGGAATGAACAGCTCAGGGAAGCAAAGGCCATGGGATGGAAAAGTGTAGCCGGGCTTTTGGCTACTCTATTGGGTTCTTTTCCTACCTCCCTACACCTCCCCTATTTCTTCAACCCCTCAACACTAGGTAAGAGAGAAAGAAGGGTGGAGGGAAAAGAGGGCATCAATCTTGTTAGACGACTTCCTTCTGATTAGGGACATCAAGCTCCTTGGGGTAAGTTTGATCTTTGTTGTCAAGACATCTCCAACCAGCAATCCAGCAAACAGCAACTGCAGCAGGAGCAAGCAAGGGCAGCAGCAACTGGAGGAACACCACAGGCTCCCTCGGGGCTCTCAAGAGTCCCCAGAATTCCAAATTTAAACTATCTTCAACTGGTGAAATCGCACTACCGTCAGAGCATGAGACAAATCACAGTTAGCTGCTGTGGTCAATCTAAAGGAGCTCCATATTCCACACCTGGGATTAAATAAAAAATATATTCACCTAACATCCCTGTTTTTAAAGAAACCAAAATTCTTACTATAGAGAAATTTAGGATAGGGGTGAGGTAAAAAGAGGTACAAGCACTGAGTGAGCATGGAGACCAGCATGTGCTTTGGTCTCCATTATACCACAGATAGCTATTAGTCCTTTTCTTCTTCTTCTTCTTCTTCTTCTTCTTCTTCTTCTTCTTCTTCTTCTTCTTCTTCTTCTTCTTCTTCTTCTTCTTTTATTATTATTATTTATTATTATTATTATTATTATTATTATTATTTACAATTTGTTCACTTTGTATTCCAGTTGTATCCCCCTCCCTCATCTCCTCCCATGTCCCACCCTCCATCTTTCTTCCCCACTATGTCCCTCCCTTAGTCCACTGCTAGGGGAAAGTCTTCCTTCTCTACTGTCTGACCCTAGCCTATCAGGTCTCATCAGGATTACTTGGATCCTCTTCCTCTGTGGCCTGGGGAGGTGATCAATTAACAGGCAACTAAGTTCATGTCAGAGACTGCCCCTGCTCCCCTTACTAGGAACCCCACCTGGACACTGAGCTGCCTATGGGTTACATCTCAGCAGCAGTCTCTGCAGGGGGTCCTGCGTCCAGAATTTTTTGAGTTTCTTGTTGTACTTGTGGAACTCCTGTCCCCTCCAGGTCTTTCTGTCTTCCTCTTCCTCCACAAGCCTCCCTGCTCTCTGCCCAAAGTTTGGCTGTGAGTCTCTGCATCTGCTTCGATCCTCTGCTGGATGGAGTCTTTCAGAGGACATCTTTAGGCTCCAGTCCTGTTCCCTCTCTTCAACTGCTTCCGGTGTCTATCCTGTTTGCCCTTCTGAATGAGAATTAAACATCTTCCCTAGGGTCCTCCTTGTTGTTTAGCTTCTTTAGGTCTGCAGATTTTAGTATGCTTATCCTATATAATATATCTAATATCCGTTTATAAGTGAGTATATACCATGTGTGTCTTTCTGCTTCTGGGTTACCTCACTCAGGATGATTTTTCTAGTTCCCACCATTTGCCTGCAAATTTCATGATTTCCTCATTTTTAATATCTGAGTAGTATTCCATTGTGTAGATGTACCACAATTTCTGTATCTATTTTTTGACTGAGTGACATCCAGGTTGTTTCCAGATTCTGGATATTATGAATAAAGCTCCTATGAACAGAGTTGAGCAAACTTCTTTGTTGTGTGGTTGAGTGTCTTTCATATATATATGCCCAGGAGTGGTATAGCTAGGTCTTGAGGTAGCGCTACTTTTCTGAGAAAGCACCAGATTGCTTTCCAAAGGGGTTGTACAAAATTACATTCCCACCAGCAATGGAGGAGGAGGGTTCCCCTTTTCCCACATCCTCTCCAGCATGTGTTGTCACTTGAGTTTTTGATCTTAGCCATTCTGATGGGTGTAAGATGGAATCTCATAGTCATTTTGATTTGCATTTCCCTGATGACTAAGGACATTGAACATTTCTTTAAGTGTTTCTCCACCATTTGCTATTCCTCTGTTAAGAAATTTCTGTTTAGCTCTGTACTCCATTTTTAAAATTGGATTATTTGGCTTGTTGGTGTTTGATTTCTTAGGTTCTTTATATATCTGGATATTAGCCCTCTGTCAGATGTAGGGTTGGTGAAGATCTTTTCCCAATCAGTAGGCTGTCATTTTGTTCTATTGATAGTGTCCTTTGCTTTACAGAAGCTTTTCAGTTTCATGAGGTCCCATATATTGATTGTTGATTTTGGAAAAGCAAAGAACACAGGATAGCTAGAACAATCCTGTTTTAATCTGATCTAGACAATCTTTTATTGTATCTCCATCCCTAATCTCAAGCTACACTA